TTTTGATAAAAGCATCTAAAAAATTCAACACTCCGCCATGACAGCTTGACCACCGATTGAATGGATGACCTTATGTAGGTAAATGTTTAAAGAATAAATTATCTAAAAACCTATGACACAGCGACCTATTTTCGTCCTAACTTTTTTAGAAAAAAGTAGAACGAAGTGGGTAGTGAGTATTTAGTTATTGCTGTAGAAATGAGATGGTGTTGCTTATAAATACAAATGGAATTTATCAGTAATAAGTACAAATTAAAAGTCACATTTTTATATACAATTTTGAACGTATAAGTTGTTTTTTTTTTAACCAATGTCAAAAATAAAAATGCCCATTGATATAAAAGATTTCCAGACGAGGTCTAACAGGTTTTAAGAAAAAATATAAATTGATGAGAAACAACCGGTGGAAATCGAACCCACGATCCATTAATTTGTCATACATCCATATATACCAGTGTGTAGCTACCATGAGGCGAGCCCATCTTATCGTATAAATCTTCAACACGCTGCCGCCCATCACTTGACTCAACAATAATCCAACACAGCCTGAATATTACAAAAGTGCAATTTCCGTATCGGCGTGCCGTAAATACGTAATGCATATTTTGTATTCACCCGTTCCGCTCGTCGTTAGATATGTTTGCATATTTTAACACAGATTGCATTACGCGCTTATCCAAATGCGATAATTAGCGCTTGCGCCGGTTCTAGCTTCATTTCATTTACTATATGAAACAATTGAATAACGCTTATGACAAAACAATGTTTGCTGATTTTAAATCTCATTACTTATATTACACTAAAAAGAGTAAAACTCATCTCATTTTTCAAGAATTGTAAGTGAATGGAAGTGCAAAAACATATGTATAGAACACATAAGTTTTAATGTTCTTTATACTATGGTTGTTCGGATCAAATATTGAGCAAACTTAGTTTATCTATTAAAACACAGCTAAACAGGTTACATTATTATATATTTTTTAAAGAAATTCTTTCAAAAATTTGAATAAAAAAATGTCAAAATCATAATTAACACAATACACTGCTTTCTATATGGAAGGAAAAATCAGTGTTACTCATAAATCAATTATACAGTCATTTTTCGTTTCGATTCAAAGACTTAAGCAAGATATACGTTTCCTATTTATTTCTAAACAGTTTTTGATTGAAAATATATGTACATATGCATTTACATTTATAAGCATAATAATAATATTTAGGAATATAGTGCCTAGGAAATTATATCACCGAGATATAGTAGAGCTCTCCCATTCAAATGTTGTACGGCCACAGTATCGGCAAAGCATAATTTCCTGTACTGAAATATTTATATCGCGGTCCGTAGAGGTGCTACGGCTCTACGCCGTAGATCCTTTTATCAGATCCGATACGATTTTTATTTAGAGATTTCGTTTCAGATAATTATTGCTTCTTAACAATCCAAAAATTGTGACTGAAAATGATGATGTGATCATCATTTTAAGTCACAATTTTTGCTTTAAAGTCTTAAACATAATTATACAAGACTAACACAGACAAGAAACAGTAATTCAGTTTATAGACTATTACAGTAATTACTCTGCATGCTAAATAGCTTTTTGTTTCTGTTTAAATATAGAACTTTAATGGTTTAAAACGGTATATATTAGTTATACTTTTTTGGATTATTTTGTCTCCCTGGTACCACAGCCGCTGCAAAGCATCCGAAACGTCGGGCAGTCATTAAAATAATTTCCAAATGAGTTTAACTAATATACATCGCGTTTTACACTGTTAAAGTGTTTTATTTAAAGGTCTTGAAAGTATTTATAATAATTAAATCTTAATAAATCGTGTCGTATCCGTAACGCGGCTTGTAAACAAGATCGGATATAGTGAAATCTATGACGTTAAGACTAGCTCTCGAGTTATGGAAATTGCTTCAGTCGTCGAATTGTGCTGCAATAGTTACATTTAATACAGCTTACACTATTTGATAATCCGTTCAGAATTAATGTACCTATAAATCCAACAATATTGCTTAAATGATTAAGTAAGGATATTTTAATTATTTATTTTAACGCACTTATAAATAAAAGTCGGCTTTTTGCTAAGTACAAGAAAAGAGAAATAAAAAAAGGCTTATTTAGTGGGTAGGTGTAATTAGTCATTAAAAAAGGTTTGTAAAATATGGTGTACGTAAGAGAGAAACTAACTTAAGAATTAGAAAACTTATAAAGCAAATTTAAATTCTAGAAGTTCAATTTTTATTTATTTAATTATTTTAAGTGTATTATGATTTATATACTACAATTTAGTTTTTGAATTTGAATCTGTTTTGCAAGAAAAGCTACATTTACTTCACCTCTTATGCATTATAATATGTATACAAATTTTAAATTACATTATGTTTTTTTTAGATAACTCATATACGTTTACAGACATTAAACTGTGATTAGAATCAAGTACTGTTTGTAGCTAACGCGAGTAGTAAACACTAAAACCCGAAATGAATAAGTTACACTTATTTACAAGTGATTTTAATTACGGTTAGATGTTTTAGACCGCCTCGGTAGCCAAATGGTTAAACGTATTGCCTAGCATTGCGTTAAGGGCGAGAGGTCCTGGGTGTTCGAATCTCAGGGAAACAAAAAATTGTTTCGGTGAGACAGGGCACAGAAGTCTGATCAACTATTTACCTGTTAAAGAAAGGATCAGTGAAACGGACACGAAAATTTGTTTGCCCCATGCCCCACGAGGGGGAAACGGGATTTCACATATATAGATGTTTTATATGCTTTTTAGCCGTGGCCATGAAGAGACTGATGTGTATATCTCCACATTCAGTCAAAAGTATTTTATTCGATTTTTTTTACTGACGAACTTGATGCTAATCAAATTCACTACTCATTAGTTATTACCATTAAACCAACGAGTAAAAACTTCTCTTTTTATTGATTGTAGTTAATAATTCAGTACTAGTTGCATATACCCAGCAAGCGGTAAGAGCTTTACATGCTCCCAGATACGGTAAGCTATTCGTGTTAGATTATGTAAATTTGCACAGTAACACCCGACTACAACGGCCAATAAAGCCTTAGTAGGTACATAGCGATTTCCGCAAAGTATATTGGGGACTTCGTCTATTTTCGCTTAATTAATTTCGATGGTACTATAAAAGGAATCGAATACACGATAAAAGACCACCTCTGTAACTATGTGGTTAAGCTTAGTGTAGCATTGCGTTAGAGAGAGGTCCTGGGTTCGAATTTTTTTTGTTCCCCCCCACGAGATTTCACACACTAATTGTATAAATTAAATAACATAGGCAATGATACAAATGATCAGATAGATATACCTTAAAGTTTACATTTGAAAGATATAAGATATATAGTGTATAATAAGATATAGTCCTAGTTAATGCTACACCTGACTAAGATTAAGAGATTGTGTGCGCTGCGAAAACTGTACAAAAAAAAATATGACGATTTGAATCATTCCTCTTTAATTCAATCAAATAGTCTATCTATCTATCACGACGGATAGCATCGTGGGTAACAGCTATAAATTATAAAGATGAGGAGGTAATATTTATGTTCAAATAACTGTTCTACGTGAATCCGCGGGCACAGCTAGTGTTATATAAAGGTATGATAGCCATTAAAAGCACTCAAACCTAAACAAAAAGATTAATAACAGAAAAGCACGGCTCCACGAGCGTCAATGAACGCGGAATATTGAAGCGAGCGATGCAAAAACGAAAACAATATAATACAAAAGCTGAACGTGTTAATTGGAAAACAGTTCATTTTTTACCTTGACGCATCCCGGAGCGCCAATTACTCGACCCCGGACCCGCCGTCTGCTAATTGTGCATGACAATGCGACAACCACTCAACCAAAGCGATAGCTCCGCATAAATAAATAGCTTCATTTTTTCATACGTAATACTGGTTGCTTGGTACTTTGGTGAATGGGATTGCGAGGTTGTCGCCACAACAACCGTTATAACGCGAAACACCAGATATATGTAATTCAGCCACTATATACTTATGTGTTCCTGGTCCAAGTATGACAAAGACAGATATCATCATTTTTCTACAATTAGTTCTTAGCAGGAAATCATGATAGTTATGACTAAATAAAACTGTTTAGATTTTAAACTCAAAAAAATAAGTTGAGTGTATTTGACCCGGCGTTTCGAATTAATCTGTAGTATACACGAGTAGTACAAATTTAAGTAAAACACGGTTTTATCGGTTTTAAACCCGAATTAAGGCAATTTATTTTTAATTTATTTAAGCTAGGACATGTCATCCTCTGTTACGTAAGTAATATAAGTTAAATTCTCGCTAAACGGTTAAATTTGTTTTATTTAACTAATTAATAATTCCTAACTTCATGTAAATGGCCTATTTATAGTGATATTAAAGCGTGCTTATGCAAATAAGTACTGGAATATTAAACTTTATGTCATATTATGCTAATCATACTTAACTTTGGAGTTGGGACATATTTGGGACGGTCGCCAAGATTAAATGTGATTATAGTTAAGCTTAAATTGTTATCGTGGTTAGGAACGAAAACCTCAACATATTTTTCAACGCGTATTAAAATACAGTAGCAAATATACAAGAATTAATATATTCATTTTTCATTCGCTTTTAATACTAAATACATTACTCCAATCAAAGATATATTCTGTCTGTAGTACGCGAGTAGTACAAATTTAAATAAAACGGTTTAAAACGCGATATATTTTAGTTAAACTTGTTTGAAAATTATTTTTAACTACGGCCCGTTTCGGATGCTTTTCAACAGCCGTGGTCACGGGGAGACTAGAGGTCGAGGATGTCTCTGACATCAAAGTAAAAAACTGCTACGCTAGCGCCTACTGTTCCGTCGAAGTTGGTAATTGGCGAAACTGGCCGGGTCCTTACAGAATTCAGATTATTTATATTAAAAGATATATTCGTTAAAGTACTTACTTTTACATTTGGAGAAATTAGTAGATAACACAAATGGTGTTCAATTATTTAAGAAAAAACCCATTCTACTACACACACACACACACAAAGACACTTCAACTAGTGCATTCTGACATCTTTGGTCCGATGGAAACAAGCCCACTAGGTGGTGCAAAGTACTTCATGACTCTAATTGATGACTACTCGAAGAAGGATTTTGTTTATCTTCACAAGAAATCTGATGTACTAGAAACATTCAAAGAATTCAAGAGCCAAGCGGAGAAACAATTGGAATGTAGTATAAAGTGTCTTCGCTCTGACAATGGTCTTGAATATGTGAATGCCAATTTTTCTGAGTTCTTAAAATCTAACGGAATATTTCATCAAACCACCACTACATATATGCCTGAACAAAATGGAGTGGCGGAGCGTATGAATAGAACAGTCCTTTTAGAAAGTCGTCTATTCTTTTTGCAGGTTAGTGTTTAAATAATACACACAGCTTTTTAACAGCTTTAAACGCGAAATGTATTTGTTTTAAACTTAATTACGATTTTAGTACGTAAGTTTGCTTCAGTTTATTTTTTTGTAAGTAAGTTTTCTAATGTGTTTTAGTTAAATATTTACGACTCTCGTAAACTACAGACAATACTTATACATGGCGCTTACAGATGACGCTAGCGTATCATATTTGACTTTGACATTGACACCTTTCATCCTCAGTCCCCCCCATGACCCTAAATTAAATGAGACATTTCGCGTTTTAAACCGTTTAAGTATTTAAATGTGTACTACTCGCGTAAACTACAGTGACTACTTCTAGTTGGTGTTGCCGGCTTAGCTCAGTGAAGTGATATAACGCCGAATAGTTACACGTTGAATAATATGATTTTCCAGCTGCGAAAATCACTTCCTTTGAAGACTCGTCTTGAGCGCACCCCGCTTTAATTCTTGTCCCTTCGCCCTCCGCACTTCGCCCTTTGATCCGAACAAGTCAATCGAAAAGTCGATCCTTTGGTTAAACATTACAAATGAAAAGTCGACAATTGGGAATGTTTTAAGTAATTGAAGAAATTGAGGAGTGTTTTAAGCGGCGATCTGATTGTTGTCGATCTTAAAGTCGTCATTTTACACTTTATTCAATTGATTGGCTTCTTTCGACGTTTACTTTTCATTATTTTTGTTTTATGTGAGTTTTTTGTTTAACGTCTTTAAGCTATTATTATGTTTAAATACTGTCTATAGTTTACGCGAGTAGTACACATTTAAATCAAACACTATAACGGTTTAAAACGCGATATATTAGTTAAACTTATTATACGTGACCACGGCTGCTGCAAAGCATCCGAAACGTCGGGCCGAAGTTAAAAATCATTTTCAAATAAGTTTAACTAATATATCGCGTTTTAAACCGTTAAAGTGTTTTATTAAAAATACGTTTAGTTTAAACTAAAGATTAAAAATTGCACGATCAATTAATATTTTTTAACTGCACAATTTCTAGTTATTGAATTAATTGAATATAAATTAAATCTCAACTCTCCAACTATACTCGTACATATAATTAATAATTATTGACCCATGAAATGCCGTATATAAAGTCGAGAAGGTATTTTCTTTCTGATCAACACTTTTCTTTGGTTGGGATACAGGCCATATTTGAATAAGGGCATAATATATCGGGGTATATTCTTCACTGCTATGTCAGAATGATTTTTTTTTATAATTTAAGAATTACCCGTTATTGAATATTGACTTTCATAGTACAATGCTAGAGATTGAGAAAGGTTCGAATTCCGGGAAATAATAAAAGTTACTATTTCAGATCATGAATGTGTCCATACATGTCAGGGGAAATGAGATTACATACCGGTTAGTAAGTATGTAATAATATAATGTAAGTGTAATATTTACTTTATTTTACATGCCTGATGGATACGTAGGAAGACGGCATCGACCACCATTGTTGGTTCCACCTTTCGCACACTCCAACTTGATGGTGTCATCACGCAAGCAATACGATTGATTAATATTGTATACAAACGGATTCATATTTTTACGGGGCATTGGAATGAATAGCAAATACTCTAACGTAAGTTTCAAATGTAATTATAATAAAAATTATTATTATTATTTATTTTATACTAGCTGTGCACGCGTCTTCCGCGTTGAACAGTTAATCGGGCGTCAAAATTCGAATTTGTAAACCTCCTAATCATTATAAATCACAGTTGGTAGCTATGATATTGTCGCGGACATATTTTTACAATTATTTAAAGAGGAATCATTATTTCATACATATTTTTTGGGTATCCGTTGATTAATGAATAATTTTACCAGTTTTCCAACATTTCCCACTGTTTCTACGTTCCTTATTGGTCACGGCGTGATGTTTTGTAGGCTAAAGGCCTTCCTCGATAAACCAGAAGATCTTTAGCTTTATAAGATTAGTTTGGATGTTGTTATGACTTTGTAGAGTATGTAGTATTATTGTTATGCTTAGTTTTGTACTTAGAGCCACTAAATAAATGTTTTCAATTTCCGTCAAACTATAGATAACAGAGAATGCAATAAGATTATGCCCTTGATGTTGACAAGTGAACTGAAATAATAATCTTTGCGAGTAACATTCGAGGGATATTATTTCTTTCGCCTCGTTAACTCCACTGATTGCTATGCATTTTTGTTGCGGATGGCGTACGATTGTCTTCAAAGAAAAGCCTCGGGCTCTACTTGTTACATGCCTCTGTCGTTATGAGGATAATAATGTCATCACCCCAAACAAAAGGTTTAATTGAAAACAAGTATCAATTTAAAAAAAACACTTAAATTAAATGGTTTTTTTTTTTGTGCACTGAAAACAACAACAAAATTTTTTTTGACATTATCATCATGCTTTACTTGTGTAGCCCTTTCATTTGATACCCATATTGAGAAGGTTAAGGTTATATATGTAATCCACCATTTTGTATCGGCGGCCATCTTGGATTTATAATGTTATTGATTTATTATATTGTATTGTCACTTAAATTAAACGTGTGAACCAAATTTCAGATCAATCTGACGGGAAGGTGCTTAAATTTCAATTCCTAATTTTGACCCTAATAAATAAATTCTGTACTGGTCGAGCTAAATAAAACCGTTTAAAAAACTGAAGCGTTATAGTTTTTTCAGTAATGACATATATTTATTTTTATATTGCTAGCGTCGTCTTCTACAAATAATATGTAATTACCCTCCTTAATATTTTTTTAAAGTACCACTTTACGTAGTGTATACAGGAACAATTATTTAGTTCAAACTACAATCTAATTTGCTGGATTAAGGTACACATAAAACAGATATTAACTCTCTTCGTGGTTCAATGGTCAATGACCTAGCATTAATATGACTCAGTTTCTGGGTTCGAATACTAGTAAAAACATTTTTTTCGGTCGACAAGGCGCAATGCCTTGACAATGTCTTGTTTGTAAATAAATCAATCAAAAAGACCAACGCAAAAATAAGTTAATACCAAGATCCTTTGTAGGAAAAAGGGATTTAAACAATATATTATAGTGAACTATGTGGGTACTAATAATATTAAAAAATAAATATATTTTTTATCACGGAACAAATTGTATATATTTACTCTGTAAACGTTACTTGTGTACTTCAAGCGCTTTATAAAACTGCTATATTAGAGTCTGCTACAGATTACCGCAAAGCCAATTTCCGGGAATCCACACACTTGAAAGTACTTCTACATACCTGTCACAGAATAACTGAAACAGTAGGCTTATCTGTCAAAGTATGGAAAGTTTCTGAAAGGTCTGTACAATTTAAATAAATGACATTTATCATCACTTGAGCATCACTTGTTCGGCGATCGTGCGGCAGTCCTAACACAGTTTGGAATCTAATTACTAGTAAGTTTAAGAGTCCCATATATAAGGTACTGTCATGTTGTATTAAGACAAGTGCATATGCAATATATAAATGACCAGCATTACTGTACCAAACTCAAACTCGGTTAAAGAGTTTTTAAAACCACTTTATAAGAAATAAATAATAATTAAAAAGCTATACCTACTTAATGTCGACAATCATTCAAAACTAACCTCAAATGAATAAAAATATTTTGACATTGTCGCTGCTTTTCTTGTCCAACTGTTGTTATTAAACTGTGCTTTTGTAATGCGATCATAAAATGTTATGACGAGATACGTTGCGAATTTCTTTAGGGCCTCCCTAACATCTATTAAACAGGCATGTTATTCGAAATCGGCCTTTATTCGTTACAGCAGTGGTATTTATATTTTATATCAAATTCAATTTCAGCTGAATTTAACATTACTTCGAATTCTTAAAACGGAAGACGGAAGCTGATTTCTGTTCTGTTAAAAGTTTTTTAAATGTTATCTGTATCATATGTATAAAAGGGATTAGAATGAACTTTTATTTGCTCGACGTTTCTTATCAATATATTCAATATAATTATTTTTAGCTTTATAGGAATATGTTCTTTACGCGTTTTTCAAAAACAGAACTAAGAAACTAGCTGTGTCAGCGATTTCATCCGCGTATACATCAACGAAATGTATTAGTTAATAAATTGTGTTAGGCTTTCACGGCCACCATTCAATGTATCATTGGTTTTCTAATTCTTCGAGCAATCGAGGAGCTAAAATCTTTTAATGATGCCGGCGGCAGAAAACTCAAAGACAACAATACAAAAAGGGACATTCGCTTATTACCAACAATATGTGCAAATTATACTATTATAAAAGAATAATCTGCGTAATAAGATGTCATTTAATAGTCTACTGGAGCGCAAAACCTAGGTAGGTGTTTATAGCTCTATTTTTAAAACATTTTTTAGACCATTCAAATGCATAATAAAAGTGGCATTTATCGTCCAACGGCCTTAAAAGAATAACTATATAATATATACTCTTTTTTTCTCAAACGTCAACGAATTTCTTTACCCCATTGATTTTTGTGTACTTTTTGCGCAGTGTCCTATTCTCATACTGGTGGAGTACACCTGTTAATCTATAATATATCTGCTCATAAACAGTACCATTCAAATGCACTACCTTGTTATTCCTAATTGATGTAGCATTTGTTAAGTACTGAAGTCAGTTCCCCGTGACCACGGCTGCTGTGATGGTAGATCGTAGTTGAGAAATTTTAAATAAGTTGAACTACTACACTTCGCGGTTAAAACCGTTAAAAGTGTTTTATTTAAATTGCATAAACTATGTAATTTGACAGTTACAATAGTATATATATGGCTTTTACTGCCCCCAGCAGTATGTATGAGGTATAGTAGAACAAAGGAGACAAAGAAGAGGAAATAAAAGTAGAGGTCCGTAAAGTTTACTGTGGATCCCTCGGGAACTATGGACTGGACGGGAAAACGAACGTGCTCCTATGGGGCTCGAACAAAATGGATGCAGTCTGTGCTTTAGATAGCTTGTGACTGTTATTTTTAGAAAAATAGCCGG